GACTTAAACCTAAAAAGGCTCCGGGCGCGGATGGCATCTCCAACCAAGCCCTTAAAAACTTTCCCGAGCAGGTGTTAACCCTTTTATCTATTATCTTCAACGCCTGCTTCAACCTTAGTTACTTTCCCACTACGTGGAAAGAGGCAACAGTGATTGGTATTCCCAAGCCAGGCAAGCCTCTCAACCTCCCCTCCAGTCATCGCCCCATTAGCCTCCTCAAGGCCATGGGCAAGCTCTTTGAAAGAGTCATCCAAAATCGCATGAGGCGCCATCTGTTTCCCACAGACGGTGACCCTCTTATCATTCCCCATCAATTCGGTTTCCGAGCGAAACACTCCTGCCCCCAACAAGTTCACCGTATTGTGGAATATATCCTCAGCGGTTTTTATCCCCGTCGTCATAAGACTATCGCGGTCTTTTTCGACATCGCCAAAGCCTTCGATAGAGTCTGGCATACAGGCCTTATCTACAAACTATACAAAATAGGTCTCCCCGATCGTCTAGTACGTCTCGTGGCCTCTTATCTTAATCATCGTACCTTTCGTTTTAGACACGAAGGCACGCTATCTTCACAGCGCCCCATCAAAGCTGGTGTCCCTCAGGGCTCAGTTCTTGCTACTCTGCTGTACATACTGTTCACCAACGACATTCCCATTCCGCCGAAAGGTGTTCAGCTCTCCCTCTTCGCAGACGACACTGCTCTCTACTGTAAAGGTATCTCGCTACCTTTCATACGGAACAAGGTCCAAAAGTCAGTTGATGAGCTAGGAGCTTGGTTCAAAAAATGGCGCATCGATGTGAACCCGGAGAAGAGCTCCGCCGTTCACTTCGATTATAAACGACGCCGTCTCAAAAACACTCCACCAATACGTATGCTAGGGACCCCTGTCCCCTGGCATACGTCTGCCAAATATTTAGGTGTCACTCTAGACACAGGGCTAACTTTCAGGCCCCACGTCAAAAGAGTAACCCGTCACGCACGTTTTTAACTGAATAGGCTCAACAGTATGTTGGGCCGACACAGTAAAATGTCCCTCAGAAACAAGCGTACCCTTTATAAGGTCTGTATACGACCAGTCATGTCCTACGCGGGCCCCATTTTCGCCCACTCTAACCCTAAAATTATTAATGAACTCCAAGTAGTTCAAAACCTTTTCTGTCGTCGAGCTGCGAACGCACCTTGGTACGTCCGCAATGCCGACCTTCATCGGGACCTAGAGCTCCCTACAATTCAACAATTCCTTAAAAAACTCTCTGAGAACTTCTTCAAAGCCTCAGAGTCGCATTCCAATCATTTTATTCGTGAGGCTGCTAATTATGCAGCCCCACTCCCCTCCCGCTATAGCGTCCGCAGGGCGAGGAACTTCCTCTCGGACCCGCCTAATAAACTTTCAAACGACCTGAACTGCCTCCTGGCGGCTCAGGCCAACTCTAATTAAGTTATTCATAATTAATTTGCCTTCGTAGGCACTCTCTCAGCGGCTAATAGCCGCCTGCGCCCTCTTTTTCCAAAAGAGGGTCGCTTCCGATACGGCATAAGAAGCTTTAAACAGCTAGTTGCCAGTCCCCAAAGGCGATTTTAGTGGGTATCACTTAGGTTCCCCAGTAGGTAGTCACAGTGAGTCCCACATAACCACGATAGACCGGCTGTCGTGGTATGCGTAATGCATTTCCGCCTCCCTCCGGGGTAGCCCTTTTCCAATTGCTTCGGGCGCAAAAAAAAAAAAAAAAATAACGGTCGGCAGTCGCTCTCCAGCTACAGTAAAGAAAACAACAGCAAGAAAAGAAAAAGTTCCTCCTCACCGCCGCTTGCCTCCAGTAGTAAGCAAGACCAACGTGTTTCACTCATTTTTCGAACGGCGTTACGGCGATCCGTAACAATTAAGTATATCATACATTTTCCTACGCGTACCTCTGATTGTAATTTTACATTTTCCGCAAGAAGTTTAGTCATTTCACTGATATTTTCATCATTTAACTTTACTTGTTCATCATGAAAATCTGAAAGAAATTTTAAAGAAAATTTCTTTCAATTTCTTTAAAAAAATCTTATTATAATGGACTGTACATAACAATAAAGCTAGGAAAGTTGAATATACTGAAGCATCAACCACCAACTAGTAATGCGCGAGCGCTGATAGCTGTTAAACGTTTTGTATTCAATGAAATTAATCGCCCGCGTTAATTATTTCCGGACGGATCTGTTTTCTACATTATGAAATTAAGTAACAGGCGTGAATGATTTGTATCCGATGTCTTACTCAAATCACAGAATAAATAATTGCTTAAACGAGGAATATTTTAATATATTGATATGTCTTGGAAAATTCGCTGAAAGATGGATTGGCTCTGGTGGACCGAACAGGTGAACTGGCTGGCGCGATCACCTGCGCTCACAACTTTGACTTTTATCTCCGTGGTACGATTAAGCAGTCACTTCGTATTTCAAAAAACATTCAATACCGGGGCGGAAATGGGTATGCGAATAGTCGCAGCCTTTGCAAAAATAAAGTCTGAAATATTCGTTCTGCAACGCGTGTGTTCAGACATTATAATATTAATACAAGCCGGTGTCACAAGTGCATAGAGATAAAAGGTGGTCGTCAAGTAAATATTATATGTAGTGATGAATTAGGCTTTGTGCATAATTATCACAATCGGTCAAAGTAAAATTTTAAAAAGTTGTGATAATCGATAACTAAAGTGATAACGGCTGAGTGATGTGACGAGTTCACGACCTTGATGCAGTTAGTATAGGTAAGAGGCGACTTGCCGTTTTGCTTTGGCGCGTTATCATTCCATGCAGAGGTAATCAATACACATACAATTTACAAATATTATTTACTTTGATTATTTTTATGTCGAGTTTTCTAAAGTAAAGTAAAGTTATTTCTATGCGTTAGAGTACTGATTCTGATAACGCACTTAACGGGAACTAAACGGTTTTTGTTACATATTGTATATTATAGCTACTATTTTGTAACAAACACTGCTTTCTTGGCGTATATCCCAGCGGCAGAAATTGAGAAAACGGGAATCATTCGATTTATACCGACCAATATCTCAAATAAAGACTTGTGTTATAAACTTTCCTCTAAATATGAGATAATTGCTGTGCGCAGGTTTCTGAAGAAACTTGGTCAGGAAAGGTTGCCACTACAGACTCGAGAACCATTCTTCCCCATCGGTTGTCGGTTATTCGAGCTATATGGCCGGCCCACTGCCACTTCAGCTTACTAATCCGTTAGGCTATGTCGGTTACTCTGGTTCTACTGCGGATATCCGCATTTCTAAGTTTATCACGCAGAGAAACCCCGAGCATAGTCCTCTCCATAGCTCGCTGAGCGAGCTTGAGCTTCCTTATATGGCCAGCAGTGAAGGACCACGTTTCAGATCCGTAAGTATTCTCTGGCAAAACGCACTGGTTGTACAATTTCGTTTTCAGGTTTTGAGGTGTGTCTAACGAGAAGATGTGTCGTAGGCATTATTTTCGAAATTTAAATTTATGAAAAGAGCGCTATGTATCATTCACAGATAAAGTTCTGTCAAAGTTTTCTTCTCGTTAATCTTGTATTAGAACATTTACGGCAGATGCATATGTAGTCTTTAAAAAGTGAAATTAAACCCATTGCAAATAATGACCCCGGCCGCTGGACTGTGTTTTGAAGAATATGAAATTTTTTAGTAAATGTAAATAGGCAATCCACAATAGAAAATCTTAAATAACGAAGATCCGGAATGAAATGAAGATACGGCTTAAAATACAAGCATCCATGCAAAAATCATGATTAAAAAAAATTTAGCGATTTGATTACAAACTTTAAGAAGTGTAAGGCTGGCTTTTCACTATGGGATATAATATATTTTATATCCCATAGTGAACTTCCCACGATTGGCTTTCACATTGTGAGGTATGTCTTTTATCATTGGACAGGGGTACCTGTACCCCTCACACCGTACTGCGGCGGTGCATAACGGTGTGCGGGGTAAAGGGAGCGAAATAATATGAAAATATCGCTCGGTCGATCGAAATAATATTTATAGTTTGAGATGTAATATATATTATAGCTCAGTGTAAACGGTTCCATTTAAAAGTATGGTGAGCCATATTAATTTATATCTCGAGATGTAATAAGATATATTATATTATATCCTATAGTGAAAAGCGGGCTTAATAATCGCTATTAGCTGATTTGAGTTTGTCAAATTGAAAGTGTCAATCCTGTCACTGCCTTAGGGATGATCTATGTTGTAGAAACATTGATGATGACATCGATGTTGACATCGATAGCTCAACATCGATGCTCGATGTTTATCCTACTCATAACATCGATGTTGGCCATTATCGATGTTTTTTGCACATGTATTTTTTTTGGTTAGAATTAATGTGGGACAGAAAAAGAATCATCGAAATCAGTTTACCCAGAAAAAAGTTATGAGGTAACACATTAAAAAAAGAACATTCAGTCGAATTGAGTACCTGCTCCTTTTTGAAGTCGGTAGATAACTGCTCAGATGACGGGGATGTAGCGATTCACCAAATATCTCACCGCAAGTTTTTTTTTCATTTTTAGATAGGTAGAACCAATAACATTGTTCTAAACGTGCATTGGATCATGTTTAAGATCAACCATCGGATTTTTTAAAAAACAACTGATCAAGAAAGAAACAACCTACAACAACACCAATAACAAAACAAAATCAGTGACAACTGCGACATTACAGTTGACATTTGACAGTTAAATTTGATACACCATAATGATATATTTTTAGGTTATCGATGCGTTCAGGCATTCTGAATTATTCAAAATTTTAAGTATTTCAGAGGAGATGCAAGATTTAGTTGATATTGATTTCGCGGGTTGGCAGTCTTCGCAAGTATCCATTATGGGTTTATTGACATCGATGTTTGACATGTGGTAACATCGGTGTTAAAACATCGATGCTTTCATTTTGGACATCGATGATCATCGAACATCCCTATACTGCGGACACTGCCTGTGCATTGTAATATTTTTGAAAACTCGGGTTTGTTGCTGAAAAAGTGAATTCAATTATATTAAAGCTAATGGAAACAGGAATGGCCTTTAGTGAAGTTTGTAGAATTTGCTTATGCGTTAATGTACGCATGTTTGTACTAAAGAAGACTAGTCTCCGAAATTTGTATAAAACATTGACGAACAGTTTTGTAAGTTTGTTAACATTTCCTAATATTGCAAATTGAAGTTGCGGTAATTTGTTGCAAATATTTTCAGATGGATGCGGATGAGGAGCCCATAATTGTCTGTTTCACCTGTCATGCAAGACTCATTCGTTGCAGAACAGTACAACAACAGGCTATTGCGTCAAAAGCAGTTCTGGAGCAGTTGCTTGCAGGAGGATCCATGGTAATATCCCTTCCATCCATTAAAACCTATAAAAGTCCCTCATAGATTACTTCATATGAGGGATTTTGCCAAATTTGCCATGCTTGGCAGGTTGGTACCCACAGCTTATGTTAGTCTGAGTTGTTATCAGGAAGATGCTGCCCAACTCCTGTTTCTGTTTCCCTCTGCCGCCTCTTACGACACCCGTCCTGTGGGTAGGTATATAGGCTAGTGGATATTCTTACACTGCCACTACACGGTCCAAGGTGTTATACTTCTTATTAATAAAAGTTCACTACTTGATGGTTCGTTCCCATTATAATGAAGTATTTGCATTAATCATCACTTAGCAGGCACCTAGATGATCACTACTTGACGATCATGCCTTCTATACTGCTTCCCGTTACCATAATGGAGAATGTATTTTTTTCTACTGCAAAGTTAAGTTTGTCCTTCAATCCAACTTACTTTTTTGTTAGAGCAATGTTCTATATTTTACAAGTTATGGTAAGTTAAATACTTATTTTTGTAAAAATAATTACCAAACTGTTTGTACTGTAATAGTATATAAACAAACTATTATCTATACGTAATATTACTCAGTAAACAAAGATAGATCATGAGGCAATTTACGGCATTCGTGAATCTTATTGGAAATATTGTTGCTACTCTATACTCGGGATGGATGAACTATTTACATTATGTAAATTTATTCGGAACCCTCACTTTGTCCGGTTTTTATTATTATTTGTAGTTGTTGCCAGGAAAATTCTGCTGCCCATCTCCTGTTTCAGTTTCCCTCTGTCCCTTTTACGACATGGTATGGTAGTATAGATTCTCCTACGGCACCATTACACTTTTTTCTCTTAATTAACAAAAGAATTTGGTTTCAGTCAATACCAAAACCGCATGAGGCTAGAGATACGATTCAATTCACACCAATTAGCCATATAGATATCAGGGCAGTAGAGTGTGATATAGAAAATGATTGTAAGAACGATATGTTTAGCCTTGAATTTGTTAAAGTTGAGGAACAGAATTTCGAAAATGAGAATCCCAAATTTGAAGAAAGTGCGAATCATGAAACAGGTAAGATATACACATTTTGTGATATTAATAAAATAAGCTACAATTTACTGAATGGCAAGTGGTTACTGTAGCCCATGGACACAAAATAAAGAGAGCTTCATGTGCAATGTACTGATTTACTGATTTGCCTTTGCGTAGGATATATGTTAATGATAAATAAATTATTATCGTACATTTTCAGCTTCCCAAAAGACACTAATTTAAAAAAGAAATGAATTGATGCCACAGGAAGGCCACCAAACTGGTTCCCTACAAAAACTAGTACCATATGCCAAAATACCTACTTTTTCAAAACGCTATGACAATCTAAACCAATATAACCGAATTTTTTTATTGTATTTGTTAGGTAGGTTAGGTACTTAATAATTTACGTAGCTAACATATTGTTTATTTTTATTATATAATTTCCTGTGCATATCGTTTTTATTTATTTTATTTTCAATTTTAGTCCAATTTTAGTATAAATGGAAGAGAATCGATAACTTTCCAATTTAGTCAATCACTAATGTATATGTAAAAAATGGCTTTTGCACAGCACAACGATAGGGCCCGATATTATTGTGTGAGTAAGTTGTACGGTGCATAGTAAATGCACGCTGTGTTTGTAGGGATACGGTTTATAATTGATTGTGTAGTACGTTCTGATTTATAAAATGCGAGTACGTGCGCGACTCCGTATATATTGCTTTTACTGATCTGCAAGTGTAGTAGTAGGCGGGTGGTAGGGGCCAACTATAGACACCGGGTTCCGATACATTTTCAACTACCGGGCATATCTCCTTCTATTATTATATCTATGTACATTCACACATGCAGGGCAAGTCCAAGAGGAACGAAATGCCTTCAAAAGAGATACAAACTGCTCCTTCTTTATATTAAGCATTCATAGTGATAGTTGATATCACAAGTGTGACAATGTAAGAAACAATCTGTGTTCAGTAATAGACGGCAACCACCGCAGATCATTTTGCACTTCTTTGACTTCTTTCGGGTTACAAAATAATATTTTTTTTATTCTTTATTAATGAGCTTAATCACAATGCGAATATGTCGTTCCGTTAGTTCAACACCAAAAACAAATACCTTAGGTATAGTTAAACTTAATTTCTTAAATCCTTAATTAATTACAATAAGTAGAAGAAGTTATGCATTTAGTTATAATCAAAATTCCCAGATCAATCACAGTGAGGAAAGTGAGATCGATCTGAGAACTTCACCTTGTAAAGTTTGATTAATAATTTTATGTCGTCAGAAAGTGGTTTAGCTAAAATTATATTACAATCAGCGAAGTCTATTAAGATGTGATGGCACTTATCAATACGAAAGGCAGCATTGTGGGCACACTCCATCAGGACATGCATTTGGTCCTCGGGAACACCGCATTGATCACAGTTGGGTGACTGGACCTTTTTCATGAAAAATTCAAACTTTCTAGATGGAATGTGTCCAGTACGAAGCCTCATTATCACTATTGCATCTGGTCGCGATAGCTTATGGTTATTAATCCATGATATTTTTGGTGGTTGTGGCTGTACCATCATGTACCAAATACCCTTTTCTTTTGAGCGTAAATCGAAATACTCCTTCCATAGTATGTAACATTGCTTTTTTATAATAGAAATACAATCAGTATAATGGGGTAATATGCTGTATTCGATACCATCCGTAGCAGCCTGTCTAGCCAAGATATCTACTCGCTCATTATATTCCATACCACAATGAACAAATATTTAATGACACGCCTGGCATGTCATGAAATATTTGTGATTATTGATGACACGCCTATTGTGCCATCAGCCATGTGTAAAAGTAATATTCTTTTTTAAGCTTTTTCACTTGTTTAGACCTAAGAATTAAGTTTAGTTGACATCAAACCTCAGTTACAAATGGAAGGATACTTGTTTTTAGTGGGTAACTACGTGTTTATAAACAAAACATTTATATAAGTAGGTACAGCTAAATCACCCTGAAAAACCTTGGGTGTTTATTAAATTAAACTTTCACCTAATAATAACATTTTTGTAAATATCAAACAATCAAGAACCTTAATGATAAAATAATAAGGTTTATGATTCATTGATTTACAAATGTTAAATGTTATTTAATGTTATACAAATGTAAAAGTAAAGTCGATCTGTAAACGTCTAATTAGTAAGAATAGCAAAACAAATGTTTTCAAAAGGAAAAAAACGCCGGCGCTATACGGCGGCGGATTGACAAAAGACTATTTATTAGCGAACTTTTATGTATAAACGGTTTCGAACAGTGCAAATAAAAATAAACCTTATACCATAACACAAGAGCACATGGTACTTCGTAGGTCTATTCGGCCATATGATAGTAATGAGATGGCAGCTCAACCATTTTAAGCAAAATTAAACAATAAGACAAACGCATTTTTTTAACAGGAGGCTTGTTTTGCAGTAATTTATTTACAACTTGAGTTTGTGAGCGATCGCAATGAGTGTTATTATTTGTTACTTATTAGACTTTTTTCCACAACATGATTAGCCCACAAAGTAAAAAGAGTACCATGTACAAGTTAAAAAGATGTTGTCAACCCCGAAAAATTACAAATTTTCAAAATAACCAGAAACGAAGCCGTAGGCATGCACTACTTGCAAAATAATGAATATTTTGGTCGGGATAAATTTTCTAAAAATGCAATTTAAGCGAGTTATAACGATTTTTAAAAAGACACGACTCGCGTGTCATACGCCACACACAAAAGTAATCGATGGCACGCCTGGAGTGCCATCCGCACTGAACCGGTTAATAGATTTTGATCTGGATGTTGACCCATAAATAGTATTCAGAACGGTGTAGGCTGTCGGTGTACCTCGTGTACCCGAGATGCACCGAGCCAGGTGTTGGAGTGCGCTTCTTGAGTCTGTCAATATCACAATATTATCTTGTGGTAATGATGCAGCGTGTGACAGTGCTTCACATTGCTACAATCTCAACCTCCATGATGAATATATTACTATCTATCTTAAATTGTAAACTAAGATTACATTGTGGGTCAAAAAAAGCTGCACCAATTCCGCCTGCATCTTTAGAGCCATCGGTAAATATTTTATAATAGCTTCCATAGTGCCTGTTAATGTAATCCAAACATATTAATTTTAGACTAAAATTGTTGTAATTTCGTTAAGCTTTTGAAATCGGTTTCCCTCGAAGCTGTTGGGTTCGATAGGACGGATACGGCGTGTATGTATGTACGTATACGTACATACAAAATACATACATACAATTAACTATTTTTTGGGTGCCAGTGGGTTGCTAGCGTACTGTGAAACTTTACGGCAATCTCCTAGCCCCCGAGCTACCAGGGCTTGTTGTGAATCTTTGTATGACCTGCAAATAATTACTCTATCTTAATCTTCCCGTAAACTTTCACTGCTGAACATGGAAGGATCTCTCCCGATGTAGGGATGATTTGTCTTGAGCGTCACGCTTGGCATAGTAATAATAATCATAATAACCATTTATTTGCTTAGAATGTAGGTAGATATTACAAAAGTATTATTAAAGCATAAAAGTTCCGATACATTCTGCCTTATCAAGGCGTGCTAATTTTGACTAAATAGAAAATTCTTTACAATAATTATTGATGAATTTTAGTCTAACATAAATTTTTCCTCATAGTACTAATAAAAATGTCCAATTAATAATAAAATAAATGTCAAGAGAATAATTATGAAGTACAATGTCACACAACGTTTACAAAAATGTCAAAATATAAATGTTCACAAGTAAAAACAGTAAAATCAACCATCCAATAATTATTCTATCGAAGTCTTACTTTATTAACTCACCGCAAAAAATTCAAGCAATTTAGATACAGATATTAAATATGTAATTTGTTTTGATTTTTATGATCAAGATACTCATTAACGGTATAAAAACAATTAAGTAAGAGCCATTCATGCAGTTTGTTTTTTAACTTTGTCATTGGGAAATTTTTAAACTCGTCGGGTAAAGAATTAAATATTTTAATCGCCATTATGTACGAATTTTTTTGAAAGAACATCAATTTACATAATAAAAGAATATAATATAATATATTCTTTTATTAGATTTTTCTCTTAAACGTCTATCTCTTAAAAAATATTACTTGGGAAGTATTCAGGGAATTGCTTGACAAAAATCGCAGCTTTTTTATATACATACATGCGAGTGGTAGCACTTTCATTTGCCCGATGCACGATGCCATGGAATGTGCTCCATAGATTGCTTGAATGCATTTTTTTGGGATTCTATATACGCGTTCTATTTCAGAACAGTTGCCCCATATCAGAAGTCCGTACTGTAATATCGATGAGACATAGCCATGATAGGCGTTTAACGCTGCTTTGGCAGTTGCTATCTCTCGAAGTCGGCGAAGCGCAAATACAAATCTGTTTAATTTGTCACATATCGATTGAACATGCATTTTCCAATTACAATTATTGTCAATAGTAATACCAAGAAACTTATAATAACCAACTTCTTGTAGCACTTTTTCATTATACTTTATATTTATATTAGTTTGCTTACTTCTAATCGTATGAAATTGCGTTATTTTAGTTTTATTTATATTTACAGTCATGTTGTGAGAATTCAACCAATCAATTATATCTTTTAATGTACTATTGATATCAAATTCATTTTTTTATTTTTTTTTAAAAACGTTACCCCCACACTAGGATTTTCTCCTGTGTCGTGGAGGCAGTTCACAAACATAAATTGCAAAAGGACAAACATCCAGACCCGGAACAATTATTTGTAGGCCATACAAATACTTGTTCCGTGCGGGATTCGAACCCGCGGCCCCCAGCGCAACAACTGATTGCTAAGCCACTGCGCCACGGAGCCGTACGTCAAAACGGATTTTGTTCGTACATTTAAGAATGATCGTTGCGTCATCAGCGAAAAGAATCGTTTTATGAGGAGTTGCTGTGGGTAACTAATTAATATATATATTAGAAAAAGTAGAGAACCCAGAATACTTCCTTGCGGTACACCATATTTGTTTAACCTATATTCAGACCGGATATGCACTTTTTTAAGGTTTTTGAGCTTTGTTATTTCGGTGCATTGTTTTCTTTGACCCAGGTAACTTTTAAACCATTCATTTGCTTTCCCACGTATTCCGTATCATTCGAGTTTATTGAGAAGTATTCCGTGATGAACAAAGTCAAATGCTTTACTCAAACTAAATCCAAAAAAAGAGCTATCATCGGTGCACCGTCATTAATGCATTCTGTAACAAACTTAACAAGTTGGAAGGTGGCTAATGTTGTGGATTTATTTTTTTACATTACCATTTTGTGCGTTATTAATAATGTTACATTTTCCCATGAAATTATGAAGTCTTAATATCTTTAGTATCGCCCTTTTTGAATATGGGTTTCAGAATTAAATACTTGAGATCTGCTGGAAAAATTCCTTGGGCAAAAGATAAATTTATAATATGACTAAGTATGGGTGCTATATATATAGAACTTAGGTTTAATATTTTTGTCGGTAACTCATCATATCCCACCGAATTAGTGTTTCGAAGAGATAATATAATTTGATTAATTTCATCAAGAATCGTAGGTCGTAAGAATATAGTAGAGTTACAGAATTGTTTACACGTACAATTATTCGACATATTCAGTTTGCCTTTATTGTCGAATCTATGAAAAAATTATTAAACCCATTTGCAATGTCACATCCTTCTACCAGGGTTCTTCCATTGTGGGTTATGGTGTCTATTTCTCTACTAGTTTTTCTATTAGTTATATTTGTTTAGGACTGACGATCGCAGAACCAGACGTGAGCACCTCTGGCAATGTCGCCTGGCACCAGGCTGGATATTTTACATCTGAAATAAACGAGATGGTTATACCGGCATCTGTCGGAAGCCATCAGATTTTCTGGCAAACCCATAGTCACCTCTTACGAAACCCACGGGATAAAATGTGATGATGAATTCTCTTATCCTTCACTTACACGCCAACTTCGACAGTACTGTGTGTATAACACTAGTTCTGTGTGGAATTCGGAACAGCGATTATTAGATTAATGTAATTATAACATGGTCGGAAGAATCATTATTTCCCTCCAAAAATGAATATGAGAGACATTACTCGGAGTAGTTGGCTAAAATACTTTATATCTAGCAACATTATTTAGTATAATTATGTAAAATTTATAATTTCTCTATTTCTCCCTGCGTTAACTGATAGAGAATGCCATGAGGGATATACTTTGGCAGTTGTAAACCGTTTAAGGTGTCTTGCAATAAAGATGCAATAATTTAAATAAATAAAAAGTTTAACTTCAACAAATAATTTTCAGAAACTTCTGAGAAGATTAAATCAAATTCTGCTGATTGTAACATAAACGATGTTCGTGAAGAAAATCTCGATTTTGAATGTGATGGTTGTAGTAAAAAATTTTCAACAAAAGACATTCTCGCCAAACACATTAAAAAAGATAATCAACCAATTAATAAAAAAGGAAAGCATCCTGCAAAGATAATGAAAAAGAAAATGTTGATGCAAAAAAGTGTAAATATACTTAAGAAAAAAACATCAGGGACATCAACTAAATACATTTTTGAATGTGATGGTTGTAGTAAAAAAATTTCAACAAAAGACATTCTCGCCAAACACATTTCATACAGTCATAAGACGCAAAAGAACTCAGACACCACTGCAGTTGGAACACAAGTTGAACATACTCCAGTACCACAACAAACAGAAATATTTAATTGTGATATTTGCGAATTCAAAACAACTCAACAACGTCGCATTTTGGCACATCTTAAAGCGCACGTCGCTAAACAAATGTACTGTTGTAATAATTGTGAATATAAATGTATTAAAAAAAGTGAGTTGCAAACACATATGAAAATACATACCGGAGTAAAACCTTTTTCGTGTAATATCTGTGAATATAGATGTATTACAAAAAGTAGTTTGCAAAAACATATGAAAATACATACCGGTGAAAAACCTGTGTCGTGTCATATTTGTGAATATAGATGTATTACAAAAAGTAATTTCCTAAGACATATGAAAATACACACCGGTGAAAAACCTTTTTCGTGTAATATCTGTGAATATAGATGTATTAGAAAAAGTAGTTTGCAAACACATATGAAAATACATACTGGAGAAAAATCTGTTTCGTGTAATATCTGTGAAGATAGATTTATTAGAAAATGTGATTTGCAAACACATATGAAAATACATACTGGAGAAAAACCTTTTTCGTGTAATATCTGTGAATATAGATGTACTAGAAAAAGTGATTTGCAAACACACATGAAAATACATACCGGAGAAAAACCTTTTTCGTGTAATATCTGTGAACATAGGTTTATTAGAAAATGTGATTTGCAAACACATATGAAAATACATACTGGAGAAAAACCTTTTTCGTGTAATATCTGTGAATATAGATGTATTACAAAAAGAAATTTCCAAAGACATATGAAAATACACACCGGTGAAAAACCTTTTTCGTGTAATATCTGTGAATACAGATGTATTACAAAAAGTTGTTTGCAAAGACATATGAAAATACACACTGGAGCAAATTCTTTTTCGTGAGCTATCTGGTAAAATCAGGGCTCGGAAACCGGTTCATATTCTTAACCGGTTCCGGTCATTGATCCCAAAACCGGTTTTCGCGGAATACTGGTTTTCTCAAATTCAGGTTTAGGTAGTAAAAATTAACCGGTTAAAACCAAGTTTTGTAATGTCCCCCGTCCCCCTTACCTCGCTTGCAACTTTGTAAGGCTACCCTGTTTTTAATTCACGAGGCTTTTAGACACACATACTCGTACGATATATTCATTGCATCAACGCGACTGCCTTGTAACGTACTCTCTCATATTTTTTCATCTTAGAACTTACATCTTCTGTTATTTATAATACGATCGTTGCTGTGTTTCAATTAATTATGCGTTATCTTTACTTTAAAATTAAGTTTCGATATCAAGTTAAATTTGGCCTTATATATTTAAATTAATTTTAATTATATTTAACGTTTTCTATTAAAATTACGCATTCATCTTTAGTTCAATGTCATTAGTTTTAGTAGTATATCGCAATAAATGAACTTTCTTAACAGAATACGATATTTTTAAAAGCTTATTCTTTTAAAAATATCGTGTTTTTTTAAATTCAAAAGCTCGTGATTAGGACCAACCTCTACCTCCGTTTTTGCAAAATCAATAATGACCACTTCTGAGGTGTAAAGTTTAACTAGAAGTCATGTCTAAACACGATAAAAAATTATTTGTTATTTTCAGAGAATTCTAACAAAAGAAATTACCATTTTTCACATCTCATTAGTGAGGAATTGGAGGTAGTCCACCGCATACACCTACTCTCTCCGTCGGAACCAACCCTCCTCCTTTCTCATCCGGGCTTGGGACCGGCAATGGCGGAGTTTTCAGTTCATGTTATATGTAAATATTTGGATATTTTCTATACATATTAATCCGGGCCCTACTGATAACATATTAAACATATGAAATAAATGTTTATTATTATTTGGGTTATCTATAAAGTTTTCTCATCTGGTTCGGCTGTTTAAATATATAATTGTAAACGAAAGAACAGATATAAACATACATAAATATAAAAAAATACCTAAATATATAAAAACCCAACCAGATGGAAGCCAGGGGAGACCAAACGGCCAAGTGTTAGGGGGAAAGGGAAAGAAACCGGCGGATGATGCGGGCGGTATTTAGGAGCACTGCCTTCTGCATTTGAGCTTGGAGCGATCCGTCACGGAGTCCCAGTCGCCTCAGATGACCCAAGAGGCTGACTGGGATTAACCCGTTCGCAAAAACGACCACAGGAATAATTTCGGCCGGCAAACCACCCCACATGTCGGTCACCTCGTGAGCCAGGTCCAGATATTTTGTCAGCTTATCTGTTTCGGCTTTCACGAGGTTCTCGTCATAAGGAATGATAATGTCGACCAAAAATATCCTTGACTGTGCCCGGTCCATCAGCACAATATCAGGCTTATTCGCAAGAATAGTCCTGTCTATGATGATGGCCCGGTCCCAGTAGAGTTCATTTTCGAGCACGGCTTCCGGCAAGTACTAATATGGTTTTTCAGTTTCAGTTTTCAGTTTCCGATCCACGAGACCGTATTTCAGAGCGAGCTCCTGGTGTAGAATCCTGGCTACTAGGTTGTGTCTGTGCAAATATTCAGAGTTAGAAAGCGCCGAACAACCGGAGATGACATGCCTAAGTGACTTACCGGGATGGCGACAAGCTCGACAGATGTCGACGGAGCCATCCTTTAGGATGTGTTTCCGATAACAAGGTTCTACAAGGCTCATGAAGAGCCTTGTAGAACCTCCCGTGGAGCTCCTCCTTCCATACGGTCTCCCGGTCGGAAATGCTTTGTACTGCCGGGTCTTGCCATTGCTCGTTGGTTAAGGATAGAGGAGTTAGCCCTTTATCACAAGAAATAACGTCCCTATAGTATGGATCATCCGTTCTCGTCAGAAAGTAATTACGGAGGCTGCACACTTCGCGATTATGTATGGTAAGTGTGGCATACCACCTTTAAATAAATTTGAATGTTATTATTGTTTAATAAAAATAAATACATTTTATCTATAAAATCACATTTTCAAAATTCTATATTAACTAAATCATATAAATTATAATAAATATTTTTGTATAAATTCAGTAGCTAAAACAATATAACATTTTAATTATTAAATCTTAAGAAATTCTACTTACCAACTTCTCCGTATGAATCGTTAGTTAAATTGTTAACAATATTTTTCTATTGAAGTACTTGTGTCCGCTTCACCGGTCAAGTGCATTAGATATTGAATTAAGGATGATTCACGCTACAACGTGTCGCCACCGGGCCATGCCCGGCCGGGACACGTCCACCGTGCGCTGGCCGGGCCAGTCATTCATGTTACACCGGGCTGTTTACACGACCGTGGCTTATGCACGACTCTGTGTTATGTGGTTTTTGTCAGCTAGTGATTTCATCTGTCGATAAACTTCACGCTTACATAAATATGCAATTTTCACAATTTGAATTGGCAGCTATTGCAATTGCCATCGATGATGAAGTATTGGAAAAACGAAGCGAAACTACTAAAAGAAGATGGGGTGTACATCCAACCTGGAGAAAGCGAGAAGCAGGAGAATTTGCTTTATTTTACAAAGAATTAATAGATGATGAGAGCAAGTTTTATGGTTATTTTAGAATGTCTAAAGAATGCTTTACTTTTTTACTTGAAAAAGTAAAACCAGACCTAACCAAAAAAATTACAAGATTTCAAAAGCCTATATCGAACGATTAGCAGTCTGCATCAGGTAAATAATAAATTGATATGCACTAAATCACATAGTATTTAAAAATGTAGTATTACAAATTGACCCATCTCACAACCATCTATCAGAGCTGGTTGTAAGATGGGTCGATTTTTTCTAAATACTTCATTTTCAATTTTTTAATAATCAAAATTGCATTGTGAATGAAAAAAAGTAAAAATTTAAATAATTTGCATAGTATTTATTCATTTCATTAGTCTGCCGTGAACTCTGAAAATAAAGTAGACAAATTATTAGATTCCAAAGGCGTAAGTTCCGAAGGCGAAGGTTCCGAAGGCGTAGGTTCGTAGGCGTTGATTCCGGTGTTGGCGTTGGTGTAGTCGTTATACCAGAACCAACAGAAGAAATGTGGCGTAAAATTGCCGAAGATTTTGAAAAGCTTAGAGGTTTTCCAAATTGTATAGGCGCATTGGATGGAAAACATTTTGTTATTGAAGCCCCAGCCAATAGTAGTTCTATATATTTTAATTATAAACACACATTCTCAATTGTTTTATTGGCGTTAGTGGACGCATGCTACAAATTTATTGCAGTTGATGTTGGCGCTTACGGACGAAACAGTGATGGTGGCATTTTTGCACAATGTAATCTTGGAAAACGTTTAGAAAATGGGACGCTTCATGTACCTATTGGTAAAAATTTACCCGGTTCCTCTACGTTTGCATCATATGTAATAGTTGGTGATGAAGCGTTTCCTTTGAAAACATACCTAATGCGACCGTATCCAGGACACCAAGCAACAGGTGACGCTAATAAAACGAATTTCAATCATAGACTGTCTTTGGCCCGGCGACTAGTCGAAAATGCTTTTGGTATTTTGACACAAAGATTTAGAATATTTCAAAGAAGAATGAAACTTGCTCCAGAAAATGTTGATTACATTATTCTATCTACATGCGTACTGCATAATTTTTTATGCGAACAAAAAGATTACACAGGGCTTATCAATCATAGTGCACAAAATGCGCAACCACATTTATTAAATCCATTGAGCGTTCAACCAGGAAGACCGGCTAATGATGCATTTGCGGTAAGAGAAACGTTTAAAGAATATTTAGCGTCAACAGCGGGACGTAATTTTATAGGACAACAGTATCAAGAATAAATACATACTTACACTATAATATACTTCTTATAATTTACCTAACATATTCTAAAATACCTACTAAAAACCGATAATCCCACTCACATGTACTTACATGTTGTCGTAAAGTAATTAGTGACACTTGAATAACTATTATAAATGTAAATTGAAATAAAAGTTACAACTTACCAGATTGTTTTATTTCTTCCGAAATGGTTTTCCAAATAATATTTTTGTATTTGTTATCTAAATACTTGAGGATGGCTCATATCGTAAATCACAGGGTACTTGCGCACACATTCTAATAATTTTTCACCGTCCATTTTGCTGTTGAGCTGCTCACTTCACTAAGATTTGACGTTGACTGCTCTCCGGGCGCCCGGGCGCATATGTTCATGTTACAACGTGTCGGGGCCGGACCGTGCCGGAGCCGGGAAACAATACCCACCGACATTTCAACGCCGTGCCCCGGCCGAGTCCCGGTGGCGTACGGCCGGGGCACGGCCGGGCCACGGTCAGGCATGAATCGCTTCATACAAAAAGTACACCATAATGTTTGACCGTGCCCCGGCCGCGCCACGTTGTAGTGTGAATCATCCTTAAGTAATGAGATGCATTCGCTGCGGTAGCTCGTGCCACGCTCGCCCATAATTACTCCGCGAATTATTGAAAATCCTGTGTAGTATTTAAAAATATTCGCGTACTTAGTTTAAATTGTCTAGTGTTGTGCGTATAAATAAAAACTATTACAAAATTCGTGTACTGAATGAGACTGCTGTATGTGATATAACTGTGTATGCAATAAACAATAACTTTATTAACTCAGTGTGTTTCTTATTGGAGTCAACATATTATTATTATTATAACTTGTAAGTACAACTTGCAGTTATACTGGTGACCTTCCGACATTTGACAAAAATAAACCCAACCCGAACCATGGCAAGTAAAAATTTAACGACGCCTCTGAGGCAGAACGTCGAAAGTGAAAATTTCGATGATGCCACTAGTGGAGAAATTAAATCTAATTCGTTTAGAGTAGGTGTTCGACCACCTCCGTTTTGGCCTGACAGACCCGCACTATGGTTCGCTCAAATAGAGGGACAATTTATTTTATCGAATATTACAAGTGACACCACAAAATTTTATTATATTGTATCCCAGCTCGATCACGAATATGCAGCTGAAGTCGAGGATGTCATTATTAACCCGCCTAGAGAAAATAAATGTGAAACTCTTAAATCTGAATTGATTCGTCGACTTTCTGCATCCCAAAAACAGAAGGTAAAACAGCTTTTAATGCACGAGGAGCTCGGAAGTCGCAAACCGTCACAATTCTTGCGTCATCTTATACATTTAGCAGGGACTAGTGTTCCCGAAAATTTTATACGCACAACTTGGTTGACTAGACTGCCTCAAAACAAATGCTGAGACGCCCTTAGATAAATTGTCTGAACTAGCTGACAAAATAAATGACATCTTGCCTCGAGGACACTTAAACGAAGTCTTTCCATCGACATCTTCCTGCCCACCGCAACAAATTCCTACACCCTACGCTGCTTTTTTTTATAGGATAAGGGTGACAAACGAGGACACAGTCCACCTGATGGTAAGTGGTTGCTGCGGCCCATAGACATCTACATCTATCCTCTGTTACAAATCAAAATGGACTGGTAGAGAATGCCACAAGGCATTAAGTCCGCCCTTTACATCCCTTATTATAAGGTAGATGTAAAAAAGAATAAAAATAAAAAATGTATATGCGTTGTCACCCGTGAGGACTAAGATGGAATGCCTCATTTCCAGTAAAAAGGGCTTCCGGCCCTGCACCTGCACTCACCAAGCGAAACGCAGAGGTAAACCTCTACTTCACGCTGGTTTTCTGTGAGGTCGTGGTACTACCCCGGTTCGAGCTGGCCCATTCGTGCGACAGCAAAAGCTGCCGCGTGGCTCTACCACTGTTAAAATGGCCATTGCTGCTATGGAAGCAATGGCCATTCAGATCGCGGAGCTAACGAAACAAGTTTCTCTATTAACAACACAGATGAACAGGCAAAACAGATCTTCGTCACGCAACAGGCGATTTAGGTTCCGTTCTCGATCTCGGTCGCGCTCAGACAGCGGCATATGTTGGTACCACAGGAAATTCGGTGTTAAATCAACGAAATGCACAACACCCTGTAATGTTGTGTCGGGAAAAGACCAGGGCAGCCATTAGTGGCGGCAAATGACTGCCAGACTTGTAACGGCCGTCTCTTCATCACCGATAGAAAAAGTAAAATTAATTACCTCATCGACACAGGTTCCGATTTGTTTTTCCACGGACCATGATGAAGGGAAAAAAGTGCAAATACGAACTTTTCGTAGTTAATGGTAGCGTCATTTCCACTTACGGCTACCTTCAACTTCATTTGGACTTTGGACTTCGTCGGGACTTCACTTGGAAATTTATCGTGGCAGATGTCTCCAAAGCTATCATCGGAGTTGACTTTCTAAGTCATTACGATTTATTAGTCAACCGCCATCATCATAGATTAATCGACGGTCTCACAAGTCTTTCAATAACAATGCCTCACCACAAAACTGACCAAATAGAAGCCATCAAAACTGTTAATGGTAGTTCAAAATATCACGAATTACTTCACCAATACCCTACCATAACGAAACCGGCTGGAACGACGTCAGAACCCAAACACAATACCAAACATCACATTCGCGTTAGTCCAGGACCTCCAGTAGCAGCACGACCTCGTCGTTTAGCTGATAGACTCCTTATAGCTAAAAAGGAATTCGAGGAAATGTTGAAGAACGGCACAGCACGACGCTCAGAAAGCTCTTGGCCTTCAGCACTACACTTAGTGCGCAAAAAAGACGACGGGCTGGAGGCCTTGTGGTGATTACCGATCTTTAAACGCACGAACCATCCCGGATCGCTACCCACTCAGAAACATTCAAGACTTTGCTCATCAGCTAGCTGATTGTAATATACAGGGTGTTTTTGGAACGCTCCCGAAAACTAAGACAGGCGACAACACCAAGTATACCTTTGATCATGGGTCACAAATAAATTCGATCCTGATGAAAAAAAAATCATCTTTTTACAAGGTTTTATTAGCTTTATTCACGCGCCATCATGTTAGTACAGCTAAATGAAACGATAATTTCATAAAAAAATATCATGAAAATACTGAAACATAAAACCAGCAGTGGAATGACTGAATTGATATCACCTGACCTGAGCTAGATAAAGGTCAATGTACGCGCGAACACAAATTCGCGCGGCCCGCAACTAGCGGGCCATCCCACAATATAATAATTTACAACACGTGTCTAAATACCTAACTTATCTACTTAACCTACTATTTTGCCACTGTGCTTATCTCCACGTAGCCACTTTAATCCGAATTTACAGGTTAAATAACCCAAATAACTGGTTCGATTCCCCGCTAATGAAGAAATACTTAAATGAAATGTAACCAAGGTTGGAGTCATGCGTTTTTATTCATCGTGTAGGTATGTTTATTATTCTCATGTATTCAGTTATGTACCTATTCAGATTAGTCTGGTACTAAGTTATTTAAAAAAAAATAGTTATGAAACAGCTTACTGCTCTAAATCCTCCGTGGTCTTATGAGATGCGGCTCAAATTGTGCTCCATTCATTTCAAGGCAGATTTGGGTGCAGGCGGGGCATCATCGTGTGGTCTTCGACACAGTCCGTACGTAGTTTCTCGAAAGCATCCACGATCCTTTGGCGCATTTCTTCAGCACTATCACATTCACGATTAAAAACCCTTTCTTTCACATACATTTAGGTATCGCTGTCCGTTCAGTCGCTCTGGCAGAAACACTGGTCCCAGTATGCGATCCTTAAATAAACCTGCCCATACGTTAACCGACCATCGGGTTTGGTGTCCGGTTTGTCGAACAGCGTGCGGGTTAACCTCTGAATACACGTGTGTATTTCTTCGGTTCCACAGGCCGTTTCTGGTAAATGTCGACTCATCCGTCCAGATAATGTGCTCAATGGAACCAGGCACACGTTGTTGCTGGTATAATAACCAACGGCAGAAAACTCGTCGGCGGTCGTGATCGCCGGGAACTAAAGCTTGCACTTTGTGCAATTTGTATGGGCGCATTGGTTACGCTTCAACACTTTGTGCACTGCACAGTATGACACACTTGTACTATCCCGACGTCTTAACAATTTATTTAGCGATACTTCGTGTACCTAGGTTCGGATACCTAACATGTTGACCACTATAAACGTACGCGTTAGGCATTATTAAAACAAAAAAGAATCCAAAAACGTAACAAAAACTTTAATATCAACACGTAATCACAAGTAAATTTATTAAACAAAACGATTGAACTGTCGCTCGCGCACGCGTGTACAAAATCAACACGGAACTGTCTCAAAAACTAAAACGAACGAACCCCGTCAAGGTTGAAACCTACTGCGTCACAAGCGTGAGGCGACAGGGTTAGGCATTCTGCCGTCATAATAAAAAAGGAAGTAACTAACAAAAACGTAAAATGGAAATAAAAAATAAATTGATGAATTTTTCTTTCAGACCCCGTGTCTAAAGTATATTAAAAGGTATCTATATTGAAATATATACGTAGAGACATGAAGATTTTAAGGACGAACTTATTTTTTTTTTTAATTTGTTTATTTATTTAAATAAAACGAATTTTCCTTTTCATCTTAGATTAAAAAAGTACACCTGGCAACACAAAAACATCGAAGGAAAGACGCATATAACTATTTGGGTCTTCCCAACCTAATAAATAAAACAAAACTACCATTCATTTAACATTTTTACATATTTTGGAAAGGTCATTTGAAGTTGAAAGGACGCTAATAGTAATTTACTACTTTTTTCTTAGTAAATATTAGAAAAGCATTGGTAGTGAGACACAAAAAATAACAACCCGCAACTCTTGAGTAATGATTTTAAAGGGGATATCATACAAGACTTACTACGATAATAATTAAAAATTAAAACATTTGTACAACCGACTTTAATATAAATAATTAAGGATAACTCAAAAACTATTGGTCTGACCTCGATCAAATTTATATGGGACCACATGTGAAACACCAGCTCTTAATAATAAGATATGAGCTCTTAATAATAAGATATAAAATAATAAGACAAGAATAATTTAAATTTAAGTAATCGATGCAAATATTGTTAAAGATGACGTAGCAACTGGTTAAATAAGTCTTTTCTTTTATGTTGAATTTGTATAAGTCTTTTCTACTAATAAAATGTCATCTGTGATCAACAGCTACGTCTAAAATTCTGACGATAATTTCTAAAATATTGATATTAGTGAATATTAAAAAAATTTAGTAGATGCGTCTTCTTATCATGAGTCGAATGGTAATTTATTCGAAAATTGTTAGATGCGCCTTTTTTTCTTATGACCGCAGCATTGTTTCATACCGAGCTAGATACAGGTCGACAGCGGAGTGAGTGTGGGTACAGTCGCGTTCTAAAGTACTACATGGTATTGGGCTATTGTTTTATAATATTATAGTAATTAATTGTTTTATTGTAGAATCATAATAGGTGTTTTACTAGCTACTTAGAACTTTGGAAGAGGTGGGAATTAAAAATAGATAATGTTTACTTGAGCATTGTTTTTTATTTCTATCGTAAAATATAAAGTATTTTGTAACAAAAAAACTTAAGCTAAGGGTGACACGCCGTCCATTATGACGTCTTGGGTCACATGGAAGCCAGATGTTGATGGTGTGTTGGTGTTACTGGATGCTACTTCATCATCACTTTCATCTTCGCTTGAGCTTCCGTCATCAGGTCGATCACATGGTAATTTTTTCGGTATTCTTCCTCAACAATTTTAACTTTACTGCACAATTTTCCCCATTCACCTTCTCCTATCATATGTACCTTTTCGTTCACTAGTTTAGTCATAAAACAATAGATATAAATAATTTTTTTTCCTTCCTTTTTAAAACATCGTCGCGAGTCGCAAAGTAAGCTGTGTATGCGACTGTATTTTTGGAGCGAACAAAGCGCGGGAACCAATAGCATGCAGGCACAGTAATACTGGCCAATATGTGATAAATCGCTCAGTGCCCAAGTTCAAGGCCAGCGTTCTTTTTTCACCGTTCGCGCGTACATTAACCTCCATTAGTCAGGTGATATCAATTCAGTTTCCACTGCTGGTTTTATGTTTCAGTATTTTCATGATTTTTTTTATGAAATTATCGTTTCATTTAGCTGTACTAATATGATGGCGCGTGAATAAAGCTAATAAAACGTTGTAAAAATATGTTTTTTTTTCATCAGGATCAAATTTATTTATGACCCATGATCAAAGGTATACTTGGTGCTGTCGCCTGTCTTAGTTTTCGGGAGCGTTCCAAAAATACCCTGTATACAGCAAATTAGATTTGGTGAAGGCTTACAACCAGATTCCCGTAGTTGATAGTGATATTGAAAAGACAGCGATCACGACTCCGTTTGAGTTGTTCGAGTTCCCATTTATGATGTTTGGCCTCAGGAACGCAGCCCAGACGTTCGAAAGATTCATAGACGAGGTGCTTCAAGAACTAGATTTCACATTTGGATATCTTGACGACATATCAATATTCTCACATACCGAAGAAGAACACATGGAACACCTCAAGACACTTTTCCGCCGATTCGAAAAGTATGGAGTACTCATAAATACTTCTAAAAGTATACTAGGTGTCAAAGAAGTAGACTTTTTGGGTTACCACATTTCAGTGCAGGGGACTCGTCCAATGGAGACGAAGGTAGCAGTGATCAAAGACTTCCCATTACCTAAAACCATTACAGAACTCCGAAGATTCCTCGGTATGCTGAACTATTACCGTAGGTGTTTGAACGATGCAGCAAGTACTCAAGCTCCACTTCTTGATGCATTATATGGCAAAAATATTAAAGGCTCCAAACCTATAGTCATGATCCCCGAGATGCTGAAGGCATTCGAAGATTGTAAATCCTCACTGTCTGATGCCACCATGCTAGCACATCCAAATCCTCACGCAGAATTATCACTCTACACTGACGCATCTGATAAGGCCATAGGAGCCGTCCTACAGCAAAAAGTGAAAAGCTGCTGGGAACCCCTAGCGTTTTTCTCCAGAAAACTTGTGTCAGCACAGAAGAAATACAGTCCATATGACAGAGAACTACTGGCAATATACGAAGCTATCAAATACTTCCGTTTTATGGTCGAAGCCAGGCATTTTACGGTGTACACCGACCACAAACCTATCAACTTTGCGTTTGTCATCAAAAGAGACAACTGCTCTCCACGCCAACACCGATACATAAGCTTCATATCTCAATTTACCACGGAGATCAAGCACGTGTCAGGCTGTGATAACACTGTTGCTGACGCGTTGTCACGAATTGAGACTATCTCTGAAATCCTTAATTATGAAGATCTTGCAAACGATCAGGACTCAGACCCTGAACTGCAGGATCTAATTAACAAGGGAACAGCGCTTCGATTAGAAAAGATCAAGTCACCCGAAGCTACAATATATTGTGATGTATCTACATACTCCGAGGCCATATATTACTCCAGGATTCAGAAGACAAGTCTTCTCCCAAATGCACAATCTTAGTCATCCCGTAGCTTCAGCCACAGCAAAACTCATCTCCGAAAGATTCGTGTGGCCCGGTGTTCGTCGAGACTGCAAGGAATGGACGAAACAATGCACAGATTGCCAACGCAGCAAAATCAACCGCCATACCTCTTCACCTTACTCCACTTTCCCTACTCCATCACAACGTTTCTCCCATATCCACATGGATATAGTAGGGCCGTTACCGCTTTCTTCTTGTTACAGGTACTGTCTCACCGTCATCGACAGATATACTCGATGGCCTGAGGCCTACCCATTAGAAGAAATTACGGCGGAAACATGCGCCAAAACATTTACCAGCGGCTGGGTAGCCCGTTTCGGATGCCCACAGAAGATCACCACAGACCGGCGACGGCAGTTCGAGTCAAAATTATTCCAGGCCGTTACATCTCTCATCGGTGCCAAGGTTGTGAGAGATTATTGTAATAGTTGAGGGTGGATATGAATAAATCAGTCTCAGCTCGATCTCTGTATTTGATTACCGCCTTCCCATGTTGACATGGCGCAGTCGGAAAAGTAAATAAGTTTATTAAGTATATTACAAGCTAATTCGAATAGTGTTTAGTTAATAATATTTAATAATTATGGAAGGTGTCTTAAGTCCACCAAAACCATTTCGTTTCGACGGGAGTTTAGACTACGCAAATTTAAGTGCCAGTGTGACAAAATGGAGAAATAGCTATGAAATTTATACAAAAGCGTGTGAAATAACGAACAAAGCGGCGAGTGTGCAAATTAATATATTATTGCACGTACTTGGCGACCAATGCCGAGAAATCCTAGACCAAAACAAAGATTCACTTTTAAAATGCACTACCGCGGAAGCTGTCTTACAAATATTGGATGGACATTTTAATATAAAACCTAATGTTACAGTGGAACGACACCAATTTTTTACAAGGAACCAGAGAGAAAATGAGACCATAGAACAATATGTTTTCGACTTGCAGAAATTGGCTGAAACATGCGATTTTGGGGCCTTAAACGACGGTCTTATAAAAGATACGCTGATATGTGGCGTATCCAATTCAGCTATTCGGGAACGGCTACTAAGGGAGTACGATGTAACTTTAAGTAAAGCATTAGAAATATGTCGAGTCGCGATAGTATCGAGGGTGTATGCGGATAACATTAAACAGGAGCAGTTCTCAGCATGTTTAATCAACAAAAATAATCAAGCGGTCGAAAATGATGAGAATATTTGGAGTGTACGGCACAGGAGGGATTCAAGGAGAGGAGATCGCGGCGGCGCAGGTGGCGTGAGCGCGGACGCGGCTTACGCGGCGGCGTGACCCGCTCGGCCCAGCGCCCGCCGCCGCGCGCTCGAGGTGAGCGTGCCTTCACGGGTTCGACGCTGCAATGTGGGCATTGTGGCAGAGTACATAAAAAGTATGAGTGTCCCGCGTATGGCAAGCAGTGTCTAAGATGTGCGAAAATGAATCACTTTGCCAGAGCCTGTGGTGCTAGTGTATTCAATGTCGAGGAGTCTGATGAGCAGGTAATACATACTGTTTAGGCAGGAAAAATTTACAATAAAAACGTAGTTTTTAACGCGCGTGTTTTGCCTCGATATCAAGGGCACCTTCCCTCTCCCCCGCTCCCCCCCCCCCCCCCCGGCCGCCGGACGCGTCGGCGTGACACTTCTCGTGAATATAGTAGGATTTTCTTGCGAGCTATACGGACGTATGTTTTCGCGCCTAACTTTGCTAAAGGAACAATCCGCGTAAATCGTTGCAATAACGGTATCGTTATTAGAACGTACTAACTCGGTCAAATTCGCGTGCAACTATCACAGTGATTTACCTCTGAAGGACTACGAGTAGCTGTCCCATTTCGTGACAACCCATTACGAGTGCCTCCAGAAGGGGGAAGTTCCGGGGATACCAGCGCGTGCCTTCTCCCGGACGTCGTTGCGTCATCCAGATTGGTTCCCGTCAACATACCAGCACATACAATTACACATACACTCACAACACTGTCATCAGCTGGGCCGGTCGAGGAGAATCGCCTGCGCTCCTGGGGCAGGTAAGTGCATTTATCCTAGTGACCTTTCCCCTCGTGTGTTCATTAGAAACATTTGACCCTCGGCGTAGGAACGCCCGACCAGCATCTGCCCGTGGCTCCTTCGTCTATGGGCCGCGAAGGATCCAACTCCTGTTGAGGCAGGGCAGCTGTTGGCCGTATCATTTGGTAGCAGAGCGTGGTTCTGGGATCGATTCCCGGTCGATCCACCGACCATAGTATTTGATAAAAATTAAATAATTTGGTGGCAGGAGCGTTGGGTTGATTTTGTGGCTACAATCACGCCCGTCCGTAATACGTAAAATACCTTTTTATTATATACGTAATAATAAAATTCCTTTCTTTGTTAGCTTGCTTTGTTGTTAGCGGGTAAATTTGAAAGGCCGCGCCCGGTTCGCGCGCAAGCGGGAGATTGCGTCATGTAGGTAGATGGTTATTTTTACGTAATCGGTTAATTGTCGTTGTCGGATGGGAGTGTGTTACTTATCGAAGGGTTGATTTCCGAGCAAGGCATTTTTGTTGATGTGTATCTTCGTTATGTATCTTTCGTATTGTAAATTGTATTTGAACTAAATAGTGGTAATTTGTATTTACGTAATTTAAATTTACTTGATTTGATCGTACTAGTATTTGTTATTGTTAATTTGATTTACCTTTTCCTTTGTACTAACTTGTGTTTGATTTAATAATAGCGGTTCTTATTTGTGTACATTCTATTCAACTCGATTTGATAGGAACTGCATTAGTTAGCTGTTAATTTTTTTGTATTTTTTATTTGTTATTGTTGTAATTGTGCTCGAGCCGCGTCGTAATTTGGATTTAGTAGTGATGTCCTCGCCCAAGATGCTAATCCGTTGCCTGCGGACTGAGCTGCGCTGGGCTACCAGCGCACACGCGTTGATAGGCCGACCGGACAGGGTCTACAATCTGAGGAAGAGGCTTGAGCAGGTCGATGCTCGAAGGGCGGCCGTGGAGGAGGCTTACTCTGAGCTCGAGGACTTGGAGGTGGAAAAGGGAGTCCTGGAATCTTGCCGCGCGGACTACGAGCAGTTCCTCGCGCTAACGGACGACCTGATCGAGGCGGGGGCCAAGGATGCGGAGAGGGAGCGCGAAGCTCGGCTGAGTAGCCTTCTCGAGTCCCCGCGGAAGCCCGACGCTGGACCTGCCAAGGTTCTCCGGGGTCCTCTCGGAGTGGATGACCTTCGTCGGCCTGTTTGACAGCCTGGTGGACGCCCGGAGGGACCTGACCCCCTGCCAAAAAATGGGGTACCTCCTGGCTTCACTAGAGGGGGAGGCCCTGAGCGTCGTCGGCCACCTTAAGTTGTCGGACGACGCCTACCAAAACGCCAGGGACCTCCTCGCTGGAAGGTACGCCAACGTCCGGCGGATTGCGGACGATCATGTTCGGAGGCTGCTGAACCTCCCGCTGCTGAAGGACCGGACTAGACTACGTGAAGACATAGTGAATCCAGTCGTCGTAGCGTGCAACTCGTTGCGGCGGCTGGATTTACCTGTGGACGAGTGGTCTTTTCTGCTCCTTCATATAGTGCTGTCCCGCCTGCCCCTCGACCTTCGGCTCCATTTTGAGGAGAGGTTCGGAGGGGATGGCGCCTCTTATATGCCCCCCTTTAGGGACCTGCTGCGGTTCCTGGAAGAGCAGTGCAGGCTGCTGGAGAACGCAGCAGGCGCCGTCGAGGGCCCCCCGGCCGCCTCCCGAGCGGTGCCCAGGGAAAGGCGGAGTCAGCCGGCCAAGGCGGCGCCCACCCCCCTGAGGCCGAGTGGAGCCCCCGCGGGAGGGCGCCCCCCCGTACCCTCCTATAGTGGCCTAGCGGCCCGGGAGGCGCCTCCCTGCTCCTATTGTCGAGCATCCGACCACCGGCCGGCGTCGTGCCCGAAGTTGTTGCGCAAGCCGGCTAAGGCGAGGCGAACCATCGCCAGGGAGCGCCGCTGGTGCTTCTCGTGCCTGGAGAGGCATTTACAACGAGACTGCCCGCACCAGCGGCCCTGCACGCACTGCCAGGGCAACCACAACGTCCTCTTGTGCCTGGGTGCGCGCGGCTCGTCCTCGCAGGGCCCTGCCAGCCCCCCGACTCCCACGGGCGGGGGCGCCCAGCCACGCCCACTGTCGGGCGACGCTCGGCGCTCACCGGCGGACCACAGCGCCCCTCCTTCTGAGGGGAGTCCCTCCCCCGATCGGTCTGGGAGTCGTTCCCCCAGGGGCGGGGGGGTCATCACCCCCCCTCCTCGAGTTGATAGTGGATTCGCGGCCACTCAGCGGTCAGCTAGACCTTTCTCACCCCCGTTGGCTGAGTGGCCGCGACTGGAACGCCGCCCGCCCCCCTTTGGCCGGTGCCGGTACTACCGGGTTCCGGAGACTGCGTATCGGCCCCGGGCCTTGGAGCCGAGGATCCCCGAGTTTCCCTCGGTCGGCCCGTTCGGGGAATTCCAGTCGGGGGTCATCGAGACGCCGTCGGAGTGCCGCGCTCGGGGCCCCCGGTTCGGGTGCCGGCCTAACAGAGGCAGCTCCAGATAGGAGGCTGCCGCCCTAGCTCCCGCCATGGCCGCCTCCACTGAGCCTATAAGTCGTCAGCAGTCCACCTGTCAAACTGTTCTATTGCCGACAGCCTCAGTGAAGGTTTACAACCCGAGCGGCGACCACTTAACGGTTCGAGCTCTATTGGACTCGGGTTCCCAGCGTAGTGTGGCCTCTACTCGGTTGGTGGGAAGACTGGGGCTCCCCTGGAGCTCTGAATCACGTCCGATGGTAGGTATCGGAGGTGCCGAGCCTCCTGCTCCTAGGGGACAAGCGGAGTTGGTGTTCAGCCCTGACAGCGAACACCTTCGTATTTTAGTCAAGGTAAATGTCCTCGACGACATTGTAGGGTTCCTCCCTAACGTTCGTATAAATGACAGCGCTGTGCGCTGTGCGTCGGCTTTGAGACCGGCAGACCCTCGGTGGGCCCAACCTGGGCCGATAGATTTGTTACTGGGGGCCGACACGCTGGGTGCCCTCTTGTTAGGTGAGATACGAGCTCTGCAGCCCGATGGCCTGTCAGCCATTTCCACGATATTTGGGCACAGCTTTTTTGGATCGGTTATGTGGTCTCCTCCCCCTCCGACGGCCGACCCGCTCTCCGTCGTGGGCGTGTCCTTATCGGACGCCGTCCAGCGATTCTGGGACATTGAGGAACCACCCCATGCAGCTCGAGTCGACCCTCTGGACCGTGAGTGTGAGTTGTTCTACCAGAACAATACCGGCCGGCGGGTTGACGGTCGTTTCGTCACTCGCTTACCCTTTCTGGACTTCCGCCCCTCTTTGGGTCAATCCCGTGCTCTGGCCGAGAAGAGGTTGCTTTCCATGGAGCGCCGCATGCGGCGTGACCC